TCGGAAAGGAAGGGGGTTGGGTCAGGTTGGATATCGGGAAGGAATTCTTTCCATGGATTGGGATCAGCCCTTGGAATGGGCTGCCCAGGCAAGGGGGTGGAGTCCCTTCCCTGGAGGTTTTTTGGGAATGAGCTTGGATGTGGCATCAGTGTCACGGGCTGGGATTGGATCCAGGGTCGGATCCACGATCCCGGAGCTTTTTCCCTACCCCACTAATTCTGGGATTCTGGGATTCCTGTAGGAAAACGGGGTCTAAGTGGGATTTAATCCCGGTTTAGTTTCGGCTCCAGAGCGAGTCGGAAAGGAAGGGGGTTGGGTCAGGTTGGATATCGGGAAGGAATTCTTTCCATGGATTGGGATCAGCTCTCGGAATGGGCTGCCCAGGGAAGGGGGTGGAGTCACTTCCCTGGAGGTTTTTTGGGAATGAGGTTGGATGTGGCATCAGAACCACGGCGGGGTCGGATCCAGGGTCGGATCCACAATCCTGGAGCTCTTTTCCAACCCAGCTGATTCTGGGATTCTGGGATTCCTGCAGGAAAACAGGATCTAAGTTTTTAGGATGAGCTTGGATGTGGCATCAGTGCCATGGGCTGGGGTTGGATCCAGGGTCAGATCCACGATCTCGGAGCTCTTTTCCAACCCCACTAATTCTGGGATTCTGGGATTCCTGCAGGAAAACGGGGTCTAAGTGGGATTTAATCCCGGTTTAGTTTCGGCTCCAGAGAGAGTCGGAAAGGAAGGGGGTTGGGAGAGGGTTTAGGGTGTTGGGTCAGGCTGGATATCGGGAAGAAATTCTTTCCATGGATTGGGATCAGCCCTTGGAATGGGCTGCCCAGGGAAGGGGGTGGAGGTTTTTTGGGAATGAGCTTGGATGTGGCATCAGAACCACGGCGGGGTCAGATCCAGGGTCGGATCCACGATCCCGGAGCTCTTTTCCAACCCCGCTAATTCTGGGATTCTGGGATTTCCTGCAGGAAAACGGGGTCTAAGTGGGATTTAATCCCGGTTTAGTTTCGGCTCCAGAGCGAGTCGGAAAGGAAGGGGGTTGGGTCAGGTTGGATATCGGGAAGGAATTCTTTCCATGGATTGGGATCAACCCTTGGAATGGGCTGCCCAGGGAAGGGGGTGGAGTCACTTCCCTGGAGGTTTTTGGGATGAGCTTGGATGTGACATCAGTGCCACGGGCTGGGATTGGATCCAGGGTCGGATCCACGATCCCGGAGCTCTTTTCCAACCCCACTAATTCTGGGATTCTGGGATTCCTGCAGGAAAACAGGGCCTAAATTTTTAGGATGAGGTTGGATGTGGCATCAGTGCCATGGGCTGGGATTGGATCCAGGGTCGGATCCACGATCCCGGAGCTCTTTTCCAACCCCACTAATTCCGGGATTCTGGGATTCCTGCAGGAAAACAGGGCCTAAATTTTTAGGATGAGGTTGGATGTGGCATCAGTGCCACGGGCTGGGGTTGGATCCAGGGTTGGACTCCACGATCCCGGAGCTCTTTTCCAGGAAAACAGGGTCTAAGTGGGATTTAATCCCGGTTTAG